GCCGCAGGCCAGCCTCGTGGCTGCACGGGCCCCCACGCCTCCCTGGGGCGCCCTCCTGTCTTTTCCCCCAAATGCCATGTGCCAGGCTGGGAGCTGGTTGTAGTGGATCCCATGAGACCCACCCCTTATGACATCTTTTGCCCCCTGTCCTTTCCTGTCCTAAGAGACCTCCACCATGGATGTGTCCAACACATGACCCTCCAACATAAATCCTGCTGTTAGAGAAATGCCACCATGAGGACCTTCCCCAACCCCTGCCCCGTGGGGCCCACCCCCTGTGAAACACTGCCACGCGAACCCCCCCATGGGAAACCTCACCACGGATAGTCATTCCAATGTGCCACATTGACTGTCACCACATACCCTTCCACCATAGCTTGCCCAGCCTCGTGAGGGAGAATCGACTCATCAGCTCTCACCATCCTTTTTGCTACCATGTGAGATGCCAAAATGGGACATTTCTCCGAAGGGCACCTACCACATAATCTGCCGCCACATAAGGTCTTGCAAGTAAACAGCCCCAGCCGGCTGGTCAAGTCTGCCCGCGGGCCCACCGCTTGGACATGATCATGGCAGCCTGGGTGGGCAGCCCTGTTGGGGCCAGCAGGCAGAAAGAGGCAAGAAGGCGGGGGTAGCAGGGAAGCCCCTCTCCTCAGCTTCAACTCCAGAGTCCCCCAGCAAGCAGGCCTCTGTGTTGGCTCAGATGGATGGATAGATGGGCGGACTGATGGACAGATGGATGCCTGGATTTCTCTTTGGGAGAGGAGCCCATGGTTCACTCTGACTCTCTCTCCTTCTTCCAGACAACGGCTACAGGGAGTGCCTGGCCAATGGCAGCTGGGCTGCCCGCGTGAACTACTCCGAGTGCCAGGAGATCCTCAGTGGGGAGGTAAGGCTGCCGGTGTGGACGGTGGGTGAGGCCCCAACTCTGGGTCGGCTGCACGGGTCTGGGTCGGCTGCACGGGCGCCCAGCATCATGGCTGTGAGCAGCCATCCCCAAGGGAGGCTGAGCCAAGAGGGCGGCAGCTGGCTCTGACACAGATGAGTTGGGTCCTTGCTCCTTCCCTCCTTCCCCCCATCACCCACCTGCGCGGCACATCCGGGTCCCGCCAGGGGGCGCTGTGTCAGAATCAAAGATGGGGGCGGGGGGAGCAGTGCCGTTGGAAAAAGCCCTTGGAGAGGCTTTGAAATATTTAAACGTTTTTGAGAAGATGGTGCTTACACATAATACAAAATTCACAGAGAAGTCTCCTTCCCTCCCTGTCCCGGCCACTGGGTTCCCTCCCCAGAGGCAAGGCCAGTTTCTTAGGTTTTCTTCCAGAGACATTGTCGGCATATGTGAGTAATTACATAGAGAGATACTCTTTTTTGCTTTAATCCAAATGTTGCATGTTCTCCACACTGTCTGACACCTTGATTTTTGCATACGACCCTCCGTCTTGGAGGTTGTTCCGTATTAGTACATAAAGAGCCTCTTCGTTCTTTTTTACATTTGCGTAATATCACATTGTGCAAGATGCGCCATCGTTTATTTAACCAATCTTTATCCTCAGTCTGGTTATTACCAACAGCGCCGCGATGAATAATCTCTTAAGGGTGGCATTTGGCAGAGGCCCGGGTGTGTCTGGTGTTGCTGCTGCCTCTGTCCTCCGTGCCCCCTCCCCTCCATCTCCACACACCTTTTCCGTGGGTGCTGAGGAAGGAGAGGGTGGTGGAGCCGGAAAAATGAGAGAGCAGACAGCGAAGGACAGACGGGAGGACACCCCGGGCTGTGTGAGGGCTCCAGGCGTCTGTGGCCTGGAGGAAGGGGGCGGATCCACACCGTCCTGAGCATTCCAGCGCCTGAAAGATCTAAATTGGAAGGGACCTTGGAGACCCTCCATCCCCTCTTAATCTGCCGGGTAATGAGAGCCACCCAGAGCACTTGTTCAAATATAGGTCCCAGGGCTTCATCCAACACCCGATAAATCAAAATCTCCAAGGAGGACGTACAGAGTCCCAGGGGACCTTCTGATGGGGTGGGGGTGGGGGGGTGAATAACTCCGATTTGGTGCAACCCGTTCACCTTGCAGGTGGGGAGACTGAGGCCCAGAAAGGGGGAGTGGCTCATGCAAGGTTACACAGCCAGAGCGAGTCAGAGCCTAGAACCTGGGCTTTGGAGTGGAGGCTCGCTTCTGGCCCCCACCGGGTGCTCGGTGGGAAGCGAGGTTGATGGAGGAAGAACAGTTTTCCCCGCCTTGCACCCCACCCGGCCCTGGGTGCTTTGGTGACCCGCTTCCCCAGGCTGCCTGGCTTCTTGGCACTGAGCCATTGGGACTCTGCTGTCTCCTTCCTGAAGCTGCAGACATAGGGCACAGTTTAGCTTAGAGGAATGGCACGTTCTCTGGTGGGGCTGCTTTGGCAGGGTGAGTTACTAGGGATGCCAGAGAGAGGTTCGCTGGCATCTCCACTCACAGGCCAGTCTCGTGGTCCCCCGCAGGCCATGGTGGGTTGGCCCGGCCCCTCTGACCTGAGCAGGCTGCTAAGCACCCACATAGTGAGCCAGCCTGGGAAGTCCTGGGGTTGCAGATGAGGGCACCCCCCTTGGGGGGCACTGAGGGAGGAAAGTGGGGTCAAGAAACATAATTGGGCTGGAAGATCTGGGGCGGGGTTGGGCAAGAAGACTACTCAGCCTGATGGGGAGCTCCTCACCTGGCACCCAGGAGATGAGGCAGAAAGCGAGGTCAGTGCTGTGGACAACTTAGACCACAGCTCACGCCCACGGGGAGAAGGTATGGGGGAGGCACGGCCAAAGCAAAAGGTCTTCAGCCCTCCACTGCACCCCACCTTGTCCTGCTGGGTGTGCAGAGCCTGAGGCAATGATATATCTCCAACTGCAGGTCAGGCCAGCCTCCTGGCTTAAAACAAACTGCCCTCCCCCGACCCCCCGAGGAGGAGGCGTCTGTCGCCTTCTTGAACAGGAGAAAAGCTGGAGGGCCACAGCTGCTTCCCGCCTTCCCCCTGCATGGAGCCCCCTGAATGTCAGAGGAAGTTCACGGTTCACCCGAATCCCTCCTGCTCTAATTGAAGCCCCATCCTTCTGGTTGGCTGATGGGGGACACCACCCTGTAGCTCCCACCCCTTTTGCCATGACAGGGGTCTCTCCCTCTCTCTACCAGCAGGGTTAGGGGAGAAGGAGGATTGGGGAACACCAGCTTTTCATCAGCCCCCTCTTTGGCAGAATAACAGGAACAGCATGGGCTTGGGAGGTGGCTGGTTTGCAGTTTGGATTCTGGTTCCAGCACATGTGCTGTGTGACCCTGGGCAGGCAACGTAGCCTCACCAAGGCCCAGCTTCCTTGTCTGTAAAAGGGCCCAGAGAGAGAGGGGCACGTCTGCTTGCGTCTTGGTCTGTGGAGGGCGCTCCATCCATGAGCCATCCCTCTGCCTCTCCTCTCACCAGGGGTCAGGGGAGGTTGTAGGGTACACCTGGGGGGTGGGGGGCTGTTGATGAGGAGACCAGGTAACACGGGCACCCCCTTCCTCTGCTTACCAACTCGGTGGGGGCTGCCACCCACCCCTTTCCCGGGCAGCCCCTGCCAGCCCGGCTGCCTGGCACTCTGGGTAATCAATTAATTTAATTACTGAAAATGCCATTCCCTTCTGCCAGCCTCTAGCCAGACCCCTCCCCACTCTCAAGATTCCCCATCCACTCCTGAGCTATCAAGAAGAGGAAGAGAAGTCTCCAATTAATGGAGCAGCTGATTTCTCAGCTCCGGGGCCTGGGCTAAGCCCTAATTAAGCACCAGTGCCCCCAGGGGATTGCAGATAATGGATTTGCAGGGCTGCCCGGTGAAATGGGACTCATGAGGGCGCCCACAGGCCAGGCCAGGGAGGAGACTGCCTACAGCCACCACCACCAGGGGACAAGTCCCCAGCTGGGAAGCTTGATTTGTTGATGGCCCAACCCTGGGAATGGCACTGACCCCCCTCCCCTGCCCTGGCCCCCACTCTCCATATAAGTACCCCTCAGATGTCTGCACTTCCCTGCAGTGACATCCACCCTCCCCCCAGCCCAGACTCACCCCCACCTCCCATGACGCTTATACATGCTCTGCTTCCCTCCCCCACACCCTGCTGATCTGGGGAACCCCGGGCACTTCCTGGGAGGGCACACCTTGATGCCACATGAAAGGGGTTCTGGGGGTGTAGGCTTGTGTTGGTTGGGCCAGAACTTCTGAAACACTTAAGAATCATTGGGGCTTCTGGCTAAAATGAAGGTTCAGACTCAGTGGGTCCAGGGCAGGGCCTCAGATTCTTGCAAACTCCCGGGTGATGCCGGTGTCACCGGTCTGGGGACCACACCTGGAGGAGCAAGGGGCTGGAGTGCCCACGGATAGGGTGAGGGAGTAGCTCCGGAAACCAGCTGGTGAGAGAGAGAGCCACAGAGTGGGACAGGCAGGGGTGGGAGAGAGACCGGGGCGGGAGCAGGGGGAAGGCCATAGCGAGGACTCAGAGTCATCCTGCAAAGACATTGGGATAGGTCGGACCCGGTCACACTTGGGACAAGGTGTGTCTTGCAGAGTCTGGTCGAAGTTGGCCGGGCACCTATTCCTTACTGGATCCTGGTCACTGAGAATATGGTGGAGTGGTTCCGCCCAGAGCCACCTTGTGACCCCTTCCTCACGGTACCAGCCGGTCTCCACGCTGAACAGGGACAGTGCTGGTCAGGTTCTCAGGGACTGGCTGTGTCCATGTGTCCTTCAGCTGTCCCGGCTGCTTCTGCAGTTAACAGTGGCCATCTCACAGGCCGTCAGAAGGGTCTCTTGGAGTGTCGCTGGGTGGCTCCTAAGATATTGTGGGCACTTCGTCTCAGGCTATTGCTGACCGTCTCCGGGGGTGCCGGGCTGTCTCCTGAGTGTGGCTGGCCATCTCCTGCGGTGGCCCTGCCACGTCCTGGGCAGTCTCCCCAGGCTCTTGGCACTGTAACCCCGCGGCCTGCTGGGCTGCCGTCTCTCAGACTGCGCCAGGCTGGTATGGCAGATGAGGGGCTGGGCTCGGCCGGGGCCTTCCAGCTGCAGGAGTCACACTGAGGCAGCCCCCTGAATGGGTCGGCCCAGTTCTCCCCTTTTGGCCTCAGTGGAGAAAACCCCTCATTCGTCCCCATCCTCCCTGCAGAAGCCCTCCAAGGATCCTGGGCGCTGCTTGTCTCTCAGAAATGCGCCACGGTCGGGGCGGACACGGGAGGAGGGGGTCTAGGAGGCCAAGCCGACCAGGATTGCCGTAGCTGGCCCGGCAGCTTGGGCCGACTATGCAGCCTCTTCAACTGGAAAAAAACAGACAGAAGGACAGTCTCTGAGGGCCGTCGTGAGAAAGAAAAGCAATGACCTCTGTAAAGCCCCTGGCACAGTGCCCAGCATACAGTAGGTGCTGAATAAATCCCACTTGTCCCACCTCAACCTACAACCCAGGCTCGGGCTGCAGTGGAGGCCGGCGGGGGGGCGGCTGATGGCATGTGGTGGGGAAGGGGTTCCCTGCACATCCTGCTCGCTCACCTGCGCCTGTGAACGGAGCTGGGGCATCGCGCTGTTCCAGTCCACAGGCATTGTTATTACCCAGGGGCTTCGCAGCATGGATTTGCAGAAAATGTAATGAAAGGAAATTAAGTACCAGCTCCAGACAGACTGGATGTGTGCATATCTTCTGGAGTCTTTGGATTTGGCATCTATTGCCAGGCACTCAGAGACCCTTCCCCATCTGCATGGTGGCGATAGATACCCTCTGCTCTTCTTCCCCTCCCCTCTCCCCCCGCTCCCCCCACACCACGGCTTCTCTGTCTGCCTCTCTCTCTCTCTCTCTCTCTCTCTCTCTCTCTGTTGCCTGCCTCCATTGACATCTCAGTGGGTCTCAACCCTTCGGAGCCTGAGTTGCTAATGTGATTTCCTGCCACGTTCCTGAAAGCCTCTGCCAGGAAAATCAGCCCCTTAGAGGTTCTTCAGTGAGGACATGCCTTCAGAAGGGGTGTGGTGGGCACTGGGAAGAGCAGGGGGAGGGAGGGCTTGGCCTCTCCTCGGATGCCCGCTCGGCGTCCTGCTGCAGAGGTACGTCCTTCGAGCTTGGGTGAGTGAGTTTGGGCCTCAGCTTCCGCATCTGGAAGAAGAGTGGGGCTGGACTCGATCCTTAGGACCAGTTCTGACGTCCAAGGATTCTGGAATCCCAACAGGAATTTCTGTGGAGAGCCAGGCGCTCTTCAAGTGTCCCTGAAAGGTTGAACAAGGCCTTTGTGAACTTACCCTTTTCTCACCACTGGCCAGTGTCTGTGCGTCCTCATGGCCTGGCCGGCCCGCCTCCAGAACCCTGAAAGGATAAGGGAAGGAGGTGCTAACAGGGCCCCTCCCCCGCTTTGCAAAGCCAGCCGCTTTCAACAACCATTCCCCCTTCCTTTACACAGTTATGGAGCTCCACTGCGTGCCCAGTTCTGGCTCCATGGGCCCTGCCCTCTCGGGACCTGTCTGCCTAGAGCTGGGCACTGGGGACCACCGGTCCCCCATCATGGGGTGGGGGACACAGTTGTAGCCTCAGCATCTCGCCAGTCTGTCACGCTGGTTAAGAGGTGGTTCGAGGCTGAGGGACCTTGGATGGCCCCCCGGTGTTTGGGCAGAAGGGAAAGGTGAGTGTGAGAGCTGCGCACATGGCGTGGGGACCCCTGTGTGATGTGGAGCCCCGAGGTAGCCGGTACTTGTCCAACAGGACGGAGCAGTAGACAGGGAGTGGGATTCAGGGACAGACAGACAGACAACAGTCTCACATTGGACGGCACAGCTCCAGGGCCACGCACGACGCACAGCTGGGGCTCGGGCAGGGGAGTAACTACTGTTGTGACCAACTCCGTCTCGGCCACCCGAGGGGGCTGCCCTCACATGTCCAGTGGGTGCAGGGGTGCCACTGTGTGGGAGTCTCACCTCTGTCCCTCTCGCCTACCTCAGAAGAAGAGCAAAGTACACTACCATGTCGCTGTCATCATCAACTACCTGGGCCACTGCATCTCCCTGGTGGCCCTCCTGGTGGCCTTTGTCCTCTTTCTGCGACTCAGGTGAGAAAGGTTGTGTAGGCCCGGACCTTGAGCAGGGTAGAGAAGGAAGATGGAGGAGGCAGCTCTGGGTGAGGGGCTGATGGTGGGGGGGGGGGGCCTGCTCCCTCACCTCAGTGGGAGGGGGTGACAGACGAGTCCCACGTCCCTTGGAACCTCTGGCAGGGCCATTGCTGCCCCCCCAGCCCAGTCACTACTAGGCGGACGGGGGATAGCTGAAGCTCAGGCTCCCCTTGTGCCACCCCCACCCACGCCGGGATGCACCCATCCGGGAGGCCGGGAAGGTGGAGACCTTTGGGTTCGAACCTGCGTGGGCCCAGCACTATTGCAAGCCCGCAGTGCCAGGAAGGGGGGTAGGGGTAGGAGCTGAGCGTCAGGCCTGCACGCGGGGAGCTACAGGGAGAAGCGGGCTGCCATGGGAGGAGGGGCATCCCCAGTAAGCAAGAAGCCCCTGGTCCCTGGAGCATCGACTGTGTGGCAGGCTCTGCCACCAGAGCTTAGGTCTGGGTGGGTCTCTGGGAGGAAGGGCCCTGGGAGGTCATCAGGAGAGTTCTGCTGCCACCTCCCGGTGTGACTTAGCCAGTGAGCCCTGCCCTCAGTTTCCCCATCCACCCATCTGGGCTGGAGGGATGCTGGCGGCCCATCCCTCAGCTCACCCACCCTCCCCTGCTGCCCCCCAGGAGCATCCGGTGCCTAAGAAACATCATCCACTGGAACCTTATCTCGGCCTTCATCCTGCGCAATGCCACGTGGTTTGTGGTCCAGCTCACCATGAGCCCCGAAGTCCACCAGAGCAATGTGGTGTGTCCTGGAGGGGCAGCCCCAGGGTCAGAGGAAGGGTCTGGATGGGATGGCCCTGGTGGAAAATGGGCTGGGCACAGGCCTTGAGCCCCAATAAAACAGGAATGGTTCCCTGGTGGGGGCGGGCGCATCCTACTGAGAGGCCCCAGGCCCAGGGTGGGGTGCTGCTGTTGCCACGCCCCCTCCCCTGTCTAAGTGTCATCTCTGCTGGGGGGTGGGTGGTAGGGCTGGTGCAGGTTGGTGACAGCCGCCTACAACTACTTCCATGTGACCAACTTCTTCTGGATGTTCGGGGAGGGCTGCTACCTGCACACGGCCATTGTGCTCACCTACTCCACCGACCGGCTGCGCAAGTGGATGTTCATCTGCATCGGCTGGGGTGAGCGCGCTGGCCCCTGCCCCAGCCGGGCTGTCCCCTCTGCACCCACACTCTGGCCAGATGGCGAAGGGGGCCTGCGAGCTCAGGGCCAGGTCCGGGGCTGGGGTGAGCACCACGGCCCTCTGCTCCTACTTGCGGGTGGGGTGCAGCAAGTTGGATGCGTGAGTATGAGCTCTACCCAGGGGAACCCGTGCCCACCTCGGGGCTCTGGGTCGCACAAGGCTCCTCCAGGCCTTGCATCCCCTAGACCCCACTGATGAGCTCTGTGACAGCCAGTCTCTCCCCAGGTGTGCCTTTCCCCATCATCGTGGCCTGGGCCATCGGGAAGCTGTACTATGACAATGAGAAGTAAGTCCCCTCCTCCCCTGAGCCCCGAGGTCCAGGGTCCCAGCCCAGCTCCGCCTCACGCTCCCCAAGGACCTTAGGCCAAATCACCTTCCCTGGCGGGCCACGGTTTCTTTATCCATATAGGGGAGGGTGCTGGGGGCTGGACTCGATCTGAGCATCCCCAGCAGTGCTCTACTCGAGGTGGGGCTGGCTAGACAGGTGGATCCAGGCTCTTTTATCTATCTTGGGATTTCATGAACAGCATAAGCATTACTGGCAGTGTCTGGAGACAAACGGCCCAGGGTCTGAACCATGGACCCATCATTAAGTAGTTCTATGACCTCGGACTAGTTACTACAGTGTGCCTCAGTTTCCTCATCTGTAAAATGGGCATCCCAGTAAAACTGCCTCCCATGAAGGGTTTTTGTGGGGATGACAGGAGTTCATATAATAGTAAGCCTTTAAAAGAGTGTCTGGCACGTAGTAAAGGCCATATAAATGTTTTCTATGAATATTAAGATTTATTTTACAAAAGATTCTATGGATTTAATAGAAATGAATCCTGATGATCTCATAGAGTCCTTCCAGCTCTGAAGTCCTGAAGTGACTTTGGTCTTGGGTATTCCCAATTGCCCCTGAAAATTAGATTTCTACTGTAGTGGTTCTTAGCCTTGGCTCATGCTGAAATCACCCAGGAAGCTTTAAGAAAGCACCAAAGCCCAAGCTTGACCTTCAAAGAGAGGGACGTAACTGGTCTGGAGTGTACCCTGGGCACCGTGATTTTTAGCTGCTAAGACTGAGAATCACTGAGAGAAAGGCAGAAAATGTGGATACAGCCAGCTGGGGAGGTGCCAAAGCATTTTTAGGAACCCATTGTCTAAGTGGGGTTCCAAGTGGCCTACATCACAATGACAATTCCTCCCCACCCCCATAGAGGGGAGGGGGCCACCACAATGTCACTGGGCTCGACAAGGAGCCTGGAAAATGATATTCATATTTGCCAGGCTGATCCTTCCTGACTCTGGCCCGGCTGGCTCTCTCTGCATTGGCACAGCCGACGGGGTAGGGGAGGGCGGCCAGCTGCCAGAAACCACTGGGGGCTTGGGAGTCATGCCCGGGATGTTGGGTCCTGGCACAGGAGCATCGTAAAGCTGCCTGTGCCTGCAGGTGTGCAAGTGAGTACAGGGGAGGACAGGAAGAACAGGTTTCAAAAAGCTGCCCAGTGTGTCTCGGAGGGAAAAGGGCGCCTATCTTAAGAAAGTCTGTCTGAGCGGCTCTGGAGCTCCATCTAGTGGTAAGATGCTGACACTGCAGCAGAAGGGATCCAGGTGTGAGACACCAGAAAGAACTTGTAGACCCCGGGGTTAAGGACTCGACTTGGGGTCTAGCTCGTATTTGGCCTACATGGTGTTTTTTGAAACCTGGAATCTGTTTCAAACCTTAAAAAGTCAAGAGGTTTCACATAAAAATCTCAGTTTCTAAGCACTGTGGGTCTGCATCCCCTGGGGGCCATTTCTCTGCACAAGGACATGGGACTTTCCATGTGCCCCATCCCAACCCACTCCCCAGATCCCCCAAGAGATTGCTGGAGGGAAACTCAAGAAAATGAAAAGCAGTTCTGGCTCTCAAACAGGTGAGACTTGTGGAATCTTGGCCTGGGGGTCATTCGGGCTGCAAATAAGGGACTCAGAGATTGCTGGCTGCTGGGGGCCCACTGCGTGACGGGCACCAGGCACCAGGAGGGGGCTCGTGCCAGAGCCCCAGCGGGGCCCCAGGGGAGCAGTGGTGTGCTGAGCCCTGGCCTGTTCCACTCAGGGGTTGTTTCCACAACCCCCCTCCCTGCCACATTGCCTGCTTCCAGCTTTACACCTCCTAATACAGGGTGCTGTCTGCCCATTCTGCAGATGAATAACTGAGGCATTGTGGTGGGATCTTGATCTTCTGCCGGGGTTGGAATTGAGACACCCAGCTCCTGGCTTCTGGCCCCAGTCCTGCCCTGGCCAAGCACTGCCCTTCCCCATGCTGCTGAACTGGACCCAGGTGACCTCTCCACTTACCTCCCCTCTGTGGCTTTCTAGGTGCTGGTTTGGCAAAAGGCCTGGGGTGTATACTGACTACATCTACCAGGGCCCCATGATCTTGGTCCTGCTGGTAAGAACCTGGGTGGAGGGGGGCGGGCAGCAGAGGGAGACAGTCAGTGCCTACTGTGGACCGACAGGGTCCCCATGCAGACCGAGGCCCTGCCCTGTCCACCCCGCCTGCCTCCAGCATCTTGTCCACACACACACACACGCCCACACCATCCCACTGTGTGCTCTAATTACAGATCAATTTTATCTTCCTTTTCAATATCGTCCGCATTCTCATGACCAAACTCCGGGCGTCCACCACATCTGAGACCATTCAGTACAGGTAACCCGGCCCGCCTCCCTCCCCCAACCACGGGGGCTCCAGAGATCCCAACCTCGGACACAGGTCCGACAGCCCCTCCTGAAAACCCCAGCTCCCCGTCTCAGACATTCTGGGGACCTGGCACCCTGCCCCCAGGCCCGGCGCTCTTCCCCCCTCCTGGGGTGGGCCGTGACTCTGGGCCTCCCCACCCCGCCCCACCTCAGGAAGGCTGTGAAAGCCACTCTGGTGCTGCTTCCCCTCCTGGGCATCACGTACATGCTGTTCTTCGTGAACCCTGGGGAGGACGAGGTCTCCCGGGTCGTCTTCATCTACTTCAACTCCTTCCTGGAATCCTTCCAGGTACCGCCGCCCACCCCTCGCTCTGGCCCTGGCTGTCCCCCGTCCCCCCTTGGGTGGAGTTCTTCCAGACAGGGGAGGGCCCGGAGGGGCAGGAGGCTGTGGAGAGGAAGGGGGCGGCCCGGAGGCTAGGTAGGGCCCCAGCTGCCCCTGTCCCTTGACCCACCTTCTCTGTCCACCCCAGGGCTTCTTCGTGTCTGTATTCTACTGTTTCCTCAACAGTGAGGTAAGGACACCAGGGTCCCAGAGCTCAGCATGGTGGGGGGCCTCCTGGGACCTGCGATTGTCTATAGCCTCCTCCTGCCCTCCACACGCCAGTTCTCTCCTCCCTGCCCCCAAGTCTCTAATGGGGATGCTGGTGGGAGCCCCAGGAGGGTCCCTGCCACCTGCCCACATGTTCCCATAGTGGCAAGCCCACTCCTTTGCTCTCATAGGCAGTTGGCCTGGTGGGGAGGGGGTCAGAAGCCTGGGCTTCAGTCTCATCAATGAGTCTAGGAAAAGGCTTGTTGAAACCAGGAAGGGCTGAGCCCTTGGGTGGGGCATTCATTTGTGCTGAAGGTAGGAATTCTTCATGGCAAAGGCGTCTGATGCCTTTGCCTTTGTGTGGATGGGGAGAAAGCACCCCTTCTCAGAACACTTGAGAAAATCATCCTAACAAATATGCAAATAAACAACGTTGACGATGTGAATGTCACCGCCTGCTGCTCGGCCGCCTGTGCATCTCACACTTGTGCACTGCTCACCTGCGCACTGCACACCTGCGCACTGCTCACCTGCGCACTGCACACCCGTGCGTCTCACACCTGCGCACTGCTCACCTGCTCACTGCACACCTGCGCACTGCTCACCTGAGCACTGCACACCCGTGCATCTCACACCTGCGCACTGCTCACCTGCTCACTGCACACCTGCGCACTGCTCACCTGCGCACTGCACACCCGTGCATCTCACACCTGTGTGCTGCACACCTGCGCACTGCTTACCTGCGCACTGCACACCCGTGCATCTCACACCTGCGCGCTGCACACCTGCGCACTGCTCCCCGGCGCACCGCACACCTGCGCACTGCTCACAAGTACAGCTGCTCGCGGTGGCCCCCGGGCTCAGACAGCATGCTCTGCTCCGTGCCCGCAGGTCCGCTCGGCCATCCGGAAGAGGTGGCACCGATGGCAGGACAAGCACTCGATCCGTGCCCGCGTGGCCCGCGCCATGTCCATCCCCACCTCCCCGACCCGGGTCAGCTTCCACAGCATCAAGCAGTCCACGGCGGTCTGAGCTGGCGGGCCAGCGACTGGAAGATGGGCTCCAGGCTCGGCCAGCTGCCCTGTCTGTGGAGGGGAGCAATCCCTTCCCACACTGTGTATCCCCAGAAGCTGCTGGCACTGACAGCCTGGGCACCCACCCCCCCGACCCCCGGCTGAGCAGGAGTTCGAGGCCTGTGAGAGCAGCCACCATCTGGGCCATGGGATGAACGGGAAATAACCTCCAGGATTGGTCTGGGTCCAGGGCCTCTGGCTACCCCCGTGCCCCAGTCCTCCCTGGAGATGGAATGAGAATGGAGTGGAAATAGCCAGCTGGAAATCCAAAGCAGCACATGGGTCCCTCCGAGATGTGTCTTCTCCCAGAGCACAAGACGGCCAGCCCACTGGAGACCTGGGGCCTGTTCTCAGCCCCCGGGGCGGGGTGCAATCGCTGTCCTAGGGGCATCATGGGAAACTCCAGTGACAGCATCACCGTGATGATGCCTCCGGGTGTTGGCAACGCTTTCCAATACCAATGGGAACCAAGGCCAGGTAGCTAGAAGCCCCAGGCAAGGTCATTAGAAATCAGGTGACATCATCAGATCACAGGACACACCACAAGAAATCCTCCCAAGCCACCGTGATTTCATCTGTGGCACTGCCGTCAGAAATGCCCTGTCTTGCTGCCTCGCACCCTTGGACCTTTACTTCCCTGCAGGCCACTCAGGCTCCCCCTCCTTAACCACCCACAATATCACACCCTGCTTTCTGTCACCTCCTGTCCTTGGTGTCTCCCCCTGTGTGGGAAGATGGGGGTGGGAGGGAGACGGAGTGTCCTGTGAGCAAGAACCAGGGTGTGCCCCGGACAAAGCCAGGCTCCCTTTCAGGGGTCAGAGAATACTCAGGGCCCCCCTGCCTGCTGGCTTCAGTGGTCTGGCCTCTGGGGCAGCCTCTCTGCTGGTCACAGGGATTTTGTGGTCCCCTGGATGGCCTCTGGGGCAACATGATTAGCTAATCGAAGGTAGGAGAAGGGGCAGGGCACTTGGCCCCTCTCTGCCTGAGTGTCCTGGAGCAGGACAGCTGGCTCTTGAGGCAACCAGCCAGCGCCCCCTGGAAACTCCCGTGGCCGGAAGTACTGGGCCAGTGGAGCCGGGCTTTCAGAGAAAAGGGTGTCAGCTCTGGCAGGGAGGCTGCTGTAAATAACCAGCATCTGTGAAGGCCTGGACTGTGCGGGGCTGGGTGGGGAGCACACAGAGAAATGGAGGCCGCTTTTCAGTCTTTGGGGCCTGCGTGTGGCTGGGAAACCTGACACCACCCACACCCATCCAGATGGGGTGCGAGGTGAGCAACTGGGGGCATGGGTCTGCAGACCCAGCTGACAAAGACGGCTCTTATAGAAGGGGGGAGTCATGGGGAGAAAAGGGCCACATGTGAACAGTGCTGGCCAAGGACACTTTGGTTGCAGCGGGGGCTATGGGGACAGCTTGAGCCAAGGTGTGGCAATGGGACCGACAGGAATGTGTCCCAGCCCCAAGGGAGGGGTGGAGCTGGAAGCCGGAGGTAGAATTAGGGAGGCCTTGACACCGCCTCGGCTTGAGATCCCCAGAAACAGACCCAGAGACAAGGTTTCCAGAACCGATTCAGGGAAAGGGAGCACAGGAAGTGGGTGGGGTCACGAGGCCAGGAAAGGGAGGCAGTGGAGTGGAGGATGCCCACCCCACAGCCACTGCGGGAGACAGCTGGAGCATAATCCTACTGCAGAGGCCTGGGGAGCTGGAGTGGGGCACACCCTGCCTTCAGCCCACCCCGGGGGACACAGGGAGGAAGGCTGCTCCCGGGTGCACTTCCCCCCGCCACACGGGCCACAAGACCAGGAGAGAAGGTCCGGGCACAGCAGCGTGCTGTGGAAGGCAGCCTGCACCAGCTCCCGGGGCAGGAGAGAGGGTGGGACACAGAAACTCCACCCTGGCACCCAGGGACAGGGCAGCCTGGCTCTCACCCCTGGGTCCCGGACCAGGGACACAGGGAGGGGACCAGACGCACCAGGACAGAGATGGGCTGACAGCCTCTGGAACAAGTGGGGGGTGAGGGAGAAGTCCCAGAGAGGGACGTGTCAAACCGGAGGGACCAGAAGTGCCCAGGATCGAGGCATCTTTCCCAACTCTGCCTTTCACCCAGTGAAGAAGTGAGAAAGCAAAACTTCTCCTGCACAAGCTGGACTGTGGGGGCAGGGGCTCCCCAAGGATGGAAGAGCCTGGGAGGAGCGGGGGACATTGGTAGGAGGTTGCATGGCGAAGAGGTCCCGGGGGGCCGAGCTGGGGCTCTGCCCCCTTTCCTGCTGGTGCCTCCTGGGCCCCCTCCAAGCACCTGCTGTGCATTCAGCCCTGCCAGGCTCAGCACAAGGGGCAGAGATGAGCAGCACTCCCAAGACGAGTACCAGCAGCCAACTGCGAAGCCATCAGCTCTGGAATGCCATCAGAGGCCACTTCCAAGACGAGGCTGACAGTCATCAGAGAAGCTGCTCGGGGGCCCTGGGCAGGCACGAGCTGGTCCCAGTGAGCCTCAGGATGCCTCCCATTCAGAGACTGAAGGGAGGAGGGGCTGCTTCAGGAACATCCAGGTCCCAAAGAACTGTATCTCCTCTGCCACAGGCAGGAGCTCAGAGTTTAACCCTTCCACAGCCCATGGCTCAGGGACCAGGGTGAAGATAGGCCCCCAGATGGGGTTTCTGAGGGTCACTGTGCCCTGAGGTTCAGTTTATGGACTGGGTGGGAAGAAGTCCTTTCGGAGTGAGTGGGGGTGTGATGATCGGACGGATACACATGTCACTACACTGGGGGAGAGGCTCGGCAGCTGCAGGGTGTTGGGGGGGTTCACTGCAGGACCAGCCCCTCCCTCAAGCCTGGGAGAGCTCTTCTCCACGTCGCACCCAGAGGCTGCAGTCTCTGGAGTACCCCACCTGAGCCCATTTCTCCCTGGGACCCTCCTTCATGGGCACAGATGGAGGAAAAACTGCCCTGTGGGGTTTTGGTTTTCCAGTTCAGGCCCCTCCATCTCTGAGTGTGACAACATGGCCCCTGCCCTGGGTCCTCAGTTTCCCCTCCAGGCCTCCTCAGTCCTGTTGCCGCTACTGGGTCAGATGCCCTGGGATAGGACTGGGGAGGGAGTCAGATGTGGGAAAAACACGTGCTAGGGAGGGAGGGAGGTTTTAGAATCCAGATAATAATACCTTAATTGTGGGCATTTGTAAACTGCTTTGCAATCAGCCAAATCCTTTTTAGCATTTATTATCTAATCCTCAAGTAACTCATGGAGGCAGGAACCATCCCATTTACAGCCAAAGAAACTGAGGCCTGGGGATCCCACTGAGATCAAAGTCTCGGGGCTCTTTCCGCCTCCTCAGTGGGCTGCAGGCACTGGGCTTGGGTTTCAGGAGGCCAGGACAGATAGAGCAGCTCTGGGGGGAGGGGGCAGCAGGAGGCCTCAACCAGGCCTTGTCTGGTTGGGGACAAGTCCCAGGTGAAGATGGGACCAGCCCAAAGATGGCAAGGCCAGTGTCCAGTTGCTGAGCTCAGCTGGGTGGAAGCAGTGAGGGTTCTGTACGTCCATCCTGATTCCCAGTATGCACTCCCCTCCTTTCCAACATCCTCCACCCCTCCACTCCTTAAAAGGATACTTAACTGCAAACAGTGCAGCCCAGGCCACCAGAAGCTTCTGTGGGTCTCCCTGCACCCACCCAGGCTCTGCTCAGCCCAGGCAGGGGGGTCATCAGCCCCCAGCTCAAGGGTCGCTCAGGATCATCTCATGGAGCTCCTTGACTTCAAACTCAACTGCCCACCCTCAGTCCAAAGAGAAACGGGAGCTGGTCTCTGCATTTCAACACCAGCAATACTATCATTGATTGAGTGCTTACTAGGTGCCAGGCACAGTCAAGCCCCTCACTACTCTTCATACCAACCTGTGAGGCAGGGGCTGTTATCCCCACTTAACAGATGGGGAAAGGGAGGCACAGAGAGGGTACAAGGCCTGCCCCAGGGCACCCAGCAGTGGCATGGCTGGATGTGAGCCCAGGCTGGCCTCCCTCAGCCTCTACCGTGTTTAACCCTATGCAGCAGTTCTGCCCCACAGGTCCCTTCAATACCCTCCCTAGAGAAATTCCTCAGTTTCCCTAGTTTGTGGACTAGCAGCATGCAGACACAAAGCTGGTTGTAGAAGTTGGCCCCTACAAAGCGTGGGTGTCAGGGAGCCCACTCCTGAGCCCGGCGCAGCCTCTGAGTGTCCCAGCCCTGTTGCTGTTTCGTGCCAGAGCACTGCCTGCTATCCCTACCTTGTACAGCCCGCCAACCCCTGCAGATCCAGCTGGTCAGGCTCGGGCTCAAGACAGGACTGCACCACATATATTTTTCAAAGCTCTACGTGTGTTGGAAACATCAATGAGATCATTGTTTGGAGATAACTCCAGGGACCATCTTCGGCCACCAGACTGCCACCCACTCCCAGTGCCCCTCCGAGGGGTCCTGGACAGATGCCTGCTGCCCAGCCTCATTGCCCATTGGGCCAAGGCAGGTGGGGGCAGAAGCAGGGGTGGGGGCCGTGTGCTCAGTATACCAAGAGGAGACTGGGAGAGTGGAGCGGGAGCCCAGCTAGGGCAGGAGACGACGTGGAGGTAGACCTGCAGGACCTCCGGCCTCTCGCCTTCATTACTGGGGTAGTCGGGCAGGGAGCAGATGGGGATCCAGTCCCTTCTCAGTGTCTGTACCATCTCTAGAACATGCATCTAGGACAGCGCTGGGCCAGGAAGTGAGGGCAGTGAGCGGGCCAGGTAAGCTGGGCGCCTTCCCCACCCTTCCTGAGCAGCCACACTGGGCTAAGGCCTGCTCTGCGAAGTCAGCTGTCCTTGCTGCCCTGAGTGGATAAAGATAAATGCTCCAGGTGTTTCCCCCAAACAGAAGGCAGAGACATCGCCTCTAGCCAGCATCAGCCCCTTGAGTGACCGTGCCTTTCATGGCATTGTGCGGGGCGCCCCCTGCAAAC